AGTGCTGACGTGTTCGACATCGTGCACGACGCCCAGGTGGGCTGGGCTGTCTTGTCTTGGTTTGGTTCGTTCGGTTGAGTTCGTTAGGGTCTGGGCAGGTTGAGTTGGGTTGGTTAAGAGTAGGTTAACAGGGTGGGTTGGGATGGGGGGGGGGGGTAAGAATGCAGCAGTCATGAAGCGAAGGAAAGCGCCCCGGAACTTGGGTTGATTCTTACAGCTATCACCCCATCCACACACACATATAATTGTGTCTTCATACCGTCGTTTGCATAGTTGCGTTTGCGGGGCACGGTTACCGGATATGCCTTGATGTCCGTCTGTCTGTCCATCTCAAACCAAAACTTGAAAAGCTGGCGTGTGATTTGAATGGTGTGCGACGCCCGTTCACCTTGAGAACGCTGCTCCAGGGCCTTACCCCCCGCTCTCCCCCACATACGCACACAGGTGTGCATGGGCGGGGTGTCATGTGTAATGTGATGTTGGGGGTAAATGGCAGTACACTTTCGTGTACGACCCGGATATCAACCGGATGATGGCCCTCTTGCATTTGCCCGCAGGACACTGACGACCCCTCCGACCTGGTGTGTCTGAGGACCCGGAAACTGCGTTACGGCAACACGTTCAGTTACTCACGGGTGGGTCGGTGGGCAGCTTTGGATATGTATGTGTGTTGTTGATGTTGTTGATGTTGTTGATGTTTTTGTAATTACAGAGGGCTGCCAAGTTTCTATACCGCAAGGCAAAGAAACCACGATCCAAAGGGCACATCGCCTGTTTGTGTGCGTGTGTGTGTGGTTCGGTGGGGGGGGTCCTGCGTGCATCGTTTCGTTGGAAGTTGGGTCTTAAGTTGGTCTGGGCCGGGACTGCCATAATCTTTGGTCGGCCACCAGCTTTTGTGGAGGCTGTGGGGGACCCACCCGGATCCTCACACGACCAACTGGGCAACACAGGGGGGGGGGCGGCGCTGCAGGGGGCGGATGAGGGAAGGGCGGCGCTGCGCTGGGCGGCGCAGGGGAGGGTGGCGTGGGGTGGTGGTGAATGTACGGCATTCCCTCCAGTTTCCGAGTCTTAATGTACGGTGTTATATACTATGGCCGGCGGCGGTGACGACTCCTGGCTGCAGGTCAAGTTCATTTTGGGGCTTGTGCACGGCCTTGCCAACGGTGCACCTGTTATGACCCGTGGGTCATGGAAGCACCGCACGCATTTCGGTCCGGCTCTGTGGCCGCCGCAGCCGCCGCCGTCCGCGTCACATCCGCCTACTGGTGCTGCAGCGACAGCGGCGGCGAGCTCTTCCTCCAGCGCAGCCGCAGATCGGGTTGCTGCTGCTGCTGGCGGTGCTGCTGGCAGTGCTGCTGGCGGTGCTGCTGGCGGTGCTGCTGGCGGTGCTGGTGGCGGTGCTGCTGGCGGTGCTGGTGGTGGTGGTTCCTTAGGTGGTCTCAGCCTGGGTGTCCTCCTATCCAGAGTTGATATCAACCTGAGTGCTGACGTGTTCGACATCGTGCACGACGCCCAGGTGGGCTGGGCTGTCTTGTCTTGGTTTGGTTCATTCGGTTGAGTTCGTTAGGGTCTGGGCAGGTTGAGTTGGGTTGGTTAAGAGTAGGTTAACAGGGTGGGTTGGGATGGGGGGGGGGTAAGAATGCAGCAGTCATGAAGCGAAGGAAAGCGCCCCAGAACTTGGGTTGATTCTTACAGCTATCACCCCATCCACACACACATATAATTGTGTCTTCATACCGTCGTTTGCATAGTTGCGTTTGCGGGGCACGGTTACCGGATATGCCTTGATGTCCGTCTGTCTGTCCATCTCAAACCAAAACTTGAAAAGCTGGCGTGTGATTTGAATGGTGTGCGACGCCCGTTCACCTTGAGAACGCTGCTCCAGGGCCTTACCCCCCGCTCTCCCCCACATACACACGCACACAGGTGTGCATGGGCGGGGTGTCATGTGTAATGTGATGTTGGGGGTAAATGGCAGTACACTTTCGTGTACGACCCGGATATCAACCGGATGATGGCCCTCTTGCATTTGCCCGCAGGACACTGACGACCCCTCCGACCTGGTGTGTCTGAGGACCCGGAAACTGCGTTACGGCAACACGTTCAGTTACTCACGGGTGGGTCGGTGGGCAGCTTTGGATATGTATGTGTGTTGTTGATGTTGTTGATGTTGTTGATGTTTTTGTA